GAGATTGTTGGCAAAATTTAGGTCATGTATATATATGATACATATTTAAATGTGTTAGGGTCATTATTTATTAAGTCAAATAATAAAGTGATCTGACTAAACTAAAAAGGTTTGGCTAAAGGTATATGTCATGAAAATAAAATTGTGTAGAGACCATAGAACAATTTCTAATTTGATGAGGGGCCAAATTGGAAATACTAAAACTTAAGTAATTAACCTAATTTTGGTTATTTTCAGGGGTCATGGTCCCCTTCTAGGAGCACGTAGACAGAACGTATTTACAGTTCCGTTCTTTTCTTTCTATCCCCATCAAGAGAGAAAACCAAGAGGGAAATACATGTGCTCTTCAAGTGGAAGACCATAAGATCAATAGTGCTCTAAAAGGGACATCATCATTATGGCTAATTTAGGTACGCTTTCGCATTTAGTTTACAACATGTTTATGAGTATGAAATTATTTTCTATTTGATCGTTAGATTGAAGATCATATTTAATTATCAGTTTGTTAACATCACCACGTTATCGAATTTGTTGGCTTCTTTACAAAAGTTCTTCCATTGATTTTTTTGAAGATTTTCGAAACACTCTCAACTTCATCCACCTCGCGGGAGTGTGATAGAGTATATATATGATATTATACACTTAACCATAATATAGTATTCAAGTTCATAAATTAATTACCATAGATTCAGGTTTCATAATTTTCTTGATTTTAACCTATTATTTTTCATGTAATATGGTTTATAACAAACAAAGCGGATAATGGAATGACATGGAAGAATCTTTCTTTAATCAACATGAGTTTTTTTGACATTTTTTAACCACGATAAGTGGCGATGATAACATCATTGTGACTTATTAGTGATTTTATATATTTCTCACCGATTATATTAGAATATTTGAGTATCTATTACGTAAGATTGGTCGATTGCTTCAATTCTCGTCTTTAAGACCATCATCTCTTCCAAAAACAACACATAATCTTCTTCCATCTTCATTTCTATTTTTATCTTCATTTAACTAGGATTTCATTTCAATTTTTTATAATTCTCTATTTTGATTTCAATTTTCTATAATTTTTTATTTGGATTTCAATTTTATAATATACATCCACCTCTATATGGGTTACAAAAAAGTTATTTGATTTATCTTGATTTAACTTTATTTATTTGATAGGAATGTGTTTTTAAAAATAAACTCATTGCCTTTTTATTATTATTATTATTATTATTATTATTATTATTATTATTATTATTATTATTATTATTATTATTATTGATTAAGTTTTCTTTACTTTGTCTAATATTAATTTTAGAATGTTTAGGTTTGAAATTTAATATCTATTTTACACTTGTTTTTATTATTCTTTAATTACTGAAAATTTACGTTGAATTATACAATAATCAACGTAAATATACAACTGAGGTAAATATATGTTAGAGTATAAAATTATTTTAAACAAAATTATTTACTTTAATTCTTATGCTGAGTATACCATTTATCATTTAATTCTTATGCTGAGTATAAAATTATTTTAAACAAAATTATCTCGTATAACTTTTTCTTGACTTTCTTACATAATTTAGTTTATAATTTCAACCATTTTTCTTAAAAAAATTTCTGGATTAATTCGATAGATACAAGAACAGGATGTATGTAAAATATATATATATATATATATATATATATATATATATATATATATAATCATTTTATATTTTACTTTCTTTTCTTCTAAAAATGTTTATGCAAAGAATTTTCTAAACATACCTATAATGATATATGGTATTGTGCATATGATTCCCTTGATAAAAAATATATTCAAACAATTATATTTTCCTTTTTAAAAGCATTTCAAAAGATCTTACATATAATATTTTCAAATTTCATCAAAACGAAATTCATTAATATTTATAGTTCTTATATAATACTAATACCTTTTTTCTTTTCTTTTTTCTTGTTATGGAGTGTTATTTTGTTTTTTCATATCATCTAAGTCTACAATTTTTTTAAATCAATAAATTCAATTGTGATAATATATTTAGAATGATTTAATATGTTGTTTAACGTAAATGTTTATAAATTATCAACATTAAAATCAAAATCAACGTAATTACTGTTATGTATACCACAGTTTAAATCAACTTGGTGTTACACTGTCCATTGTCAAGCTCATCTCTATTGGGCTTCATGAGTTATGAGCCTTTTTATTTTTACACCCCTTTATGCTGATTTCAGTTTTTTTTTTAATTTTATTATGAAAATATTTTAAGAGAAACATTTTTGTGCTCTGTTTTGGTTAAAAAAAGTAAAAATTCATCATGCACTATGAAGTCAAGTTTTTGTTAATGAATATTTCAACTCCCCAAATACCATATATATAATAAACTATTATTTGATCATGTATCAATGTCAATATATTTGAAAATTTATATCTTATTATTGATTAGAATAAAGTGGTGAGTTATTTGAATAAGTAAAAATAAGTGAACACAATTATATAAAATAAGTATACTTTAACATGAGCTATGTGTTTTAGAGTACCGTTCAATTGATACGAAGCCTACCTATTGCCACTAACATGCACCGTTAATTGATTAATTTCAAACTACCTACCTCAAGACTTTGGACTCCATAAATATACTTTTCCGTCTTATGAAACGTGGTTGGAAGGTGAAATTTATTAAAAATTATTAGTTAAATTTTCCAACACCTATTAGTCATCAACAAAGTCAATGAACATTTTCTATTAACATTATGATATTATAAAAAATAAAAAGAAAAATAAAAATACTACATGAGTATTTTGGTGTTACATTATAAATACAACGTGTAGCATAACCACACATGATGCATATGAATTATATTAAAATATTTGATTAATTTTAATATATTATTAAATTAATTAAGATTATATTATAAATTTTCAGGAATATAAAATTAATTAATTATTTTCAAAACAATGTGATGATGTTAAATTATTTTTATAAGTGTGATACAAAACTTATTTTTCTAAAAACAGTTTGTTACATAAATATAATGACATTTACACCAATTTATTACACAGGCACATTCATTATTAAGAGGTAAGTTATCACTCCCTCTAATAGCTAATGGGTTGTGATCATTAAATTTTGGAAGTAAATATTTATATTTGACCCATTCTGCACTTCATCACCGTTCTCCGCTATTATTCATGTCATACATAAATTCATCTACACATACATAGCTTTTTAGTTTAAGTAAAAAAAATATATATTTTTATAATCATAATGATATAAACTCATAATCTTGTTTAAAGTGACCAAATCCAAAATTCTACTTGTAGTGTAAACTGTTATACATCATTATCGAATTATACATTTTCATTAAAATGATTTTTTAGATAATTATTATAAAAGTTAAACTGTTTTATCACGCATAATGATTTACTATTGGATGATAGTACAAAGCTCAATGCATAATAATTCTTTTACTAATTTAATATTACCTAAATAATAAGAATTAAATAAACTAACATAAAAACTTAGAATTTTACATAAATGGAAACAATGGAATAAAAATAGATAGTGTGTCACGTAAAAGAATAATATCGAAATATTAATAGAGAAGCATATAAAAACAATTTTAAAGATTAAAAAGAAAGTTATTTTATGAGATTAGGATAGAATAATTCTCTTATCAAGTCCAATAAATTGATTGGTATAGGGTATGATTTTCTTATTAATATCTATTCTATTCGTGTAATGTATTTTTTTATTATAAATTGAATTAAAAAGTAATATAACAAGATAATGAAGATTATCTAGCATCACATAATTGCACATGCATTATTTTCCAAATAATAAAATGTCATTTTTGTTCAAACATGGTGAACTATAATAGTTCAGAGTCATGAAGCCTACATATTTGATTTAAGACTTATGCTAATAAGCATATTATTATTATTATTATTATATTTTTTTGTTCTGAAAACAAAAAGGACTATTTTTCCGCAGCGTAATTTGGGGAGGAACTAATGGGAAGTAGATTTGTTTGAATTGAAGGGTCATAAATAAATAAGTTGTGCTTTAAAAGTTTTCGTCTGTAAGGAGCAGTTTATGGTCAGAAGGTTGGATAATACAGCAATTTATGAGGCAGCAGATAAAGACAGATACCATACCATACCAAGCAAGCAATATACACACAGCTTTCACATTTGTTTGTTTCCTTGCCACACCAAGTAACCATTCATCAATTAATAATGTGCTACTAGCACAATATTTTTCTCACTAGTTATCCACCTATATCTAAGCAATTTGCATCAGCCCCTACAAGTAACTCACAAGATTATATCAATTTGTAATACTTTCTGTAAAGATGCTCAATTTTTTAACTAAGTTAGCCACGGCTGAAGTTAAACTGGCCAAGTTAAAGAAAGTGGGAAATCTTTCAGTGAATGAACCCACTTAAACAGTTGTCAGAAACGACTTGTGCCACTCCATTTCAGTATACAATGTTTACTTAAAAATGGTATCTATCTGAATTTCGTGGTAGTTAGAGTAGGTCAGGCAAAATGGGAATTTTAAAACTGTTATATCTTCTAGTTGATGTTTGTCTGTGTGAAACTTTTCTAGATTCCCTCGTATTTCGCTGGTTTGAAAGACAAAAACAAAACGAAGAACATGTGAGTAACTTACCCAATAAAGGGGAAGGAAAAAAAATAAGAAAGGAACATGCAAGCTTACTTAACATTATACAACTTATTGATAGGTGATAAGCAAAAAATTGCTTATGCTCTGCAATTCATGCGATATTTCCATATCATGACAGGGACAATGCAATTCGTGAAACAAGACTTACTAGAAGTACTACTAAGTAAAAAAATAAAATAAAAGCCCTCATAATTAACATAACTATTACTTTGTGTTTTCTTGAATCTAAAGCACAATAGAAACATTAAACACCCACAGTGCTTCTCAAAAGTATAGTGAACTCTTCACTTTGTCAGTGATCCAAGCTCATGGTTCAAATTTTTGTTCATCTTCAAACTCCTCCTGGTTCTGATACTCATTGTATTTGCCACCTCTGTTGTTGTACCAGGTGTTAGTGTTCACGCCCCCGGATGAATCACCATAGTTTGTAGGAGGGGAATTTTCCGCGTTAAGATCATAAAAATACCTTCCACCGTGCAAAAACCTTGTGTCACTCATACCTTGCTTCTCACCATTGTAACTGTTACCGTTACCATTAAAATTGTTGTTGTAGTATTTGTGATTGTCAGCATCGTTGCTGTAGTACTTCTGGTTGTCGTTCTGATAGTTGTTGTACTTGTTGTTGTTGTAACCTTCTTCTGTGTACTTTGCGTCGCTTAACTGATATTGGTCACCCCGATAAGAATCCTTCTTGTAATACTTCTTGTTGTTGTAACCGGTTTCCGTGAACCTATTGTTATAGGCATCATTGTTGAAGTACTTGTTGTTGTCCTCAAACTCGGTCTTGTAAGGGTGGTAAGAAGTGGGGGTGGTGTAAGAGGCGGAATTTTTGGTTGTGGTGGTGGAAGGAACTTGATTATACTCATCATGACCATATAGGCCATAGCTGTTTTCGGTCTCGGGAATGAAGGGTGGTTGTTGCTCTACCTTGTTTACTTCTGGTGCTTCTTTGTTGGGAAGTTCGGTCTCTTTGACATTGTTGGTGTCGAAATGGGAGACTTTGCTGAAGAACTGGCTGTCTCTTGCAGAGATTTGAAGAGCCAAGAAAAGGGTGGTGAAGAGAAGGAAAGAAATGTAGTTTGACAAATGAGCCATTGTACCACAAGAGAGGGAAGATGGTCTATACTGATGAGAAGTTGTGATTGCCTAACTATCTTTATATAGAGGTTCTTAACCTTTCCTTTTTCTCTCTCCTTGAAAATTTTCTCACTTAATAGGTGTAAATGGGGCAAAGGTGGATGGTTGTGGTCCCTCTCAAAGAAACATTATTAGATGTGGTCATGAAGTAACCATTAGATGTTTTTTAGATGTTTTTAGTACATTTTGACGTGATCATATTACCTTATTATTTTGTTAATCACATTATGTAAGATTTTGAGGACTGAGGACTCTGCTTGTATGGTAATGGAAAACAACATCATTGCTAGTGTGAAAGTCTAGTTATTAGATTCACAGCTTGCTCTTAGCCGCATCCTAAGAGACCTTAACATTTAATTGGCGTCTTTCATATTTCCTTTACTGTAAGCTAACTCTTTATTGATGAGTAGTTACACCATAGATTATGACGCAACCATTGCATTCATAGGTGGTACCTTTCATACCGTTGGATTCCAGCCTAATAAAAAGGGTTCTGTATTTGTTTTACATTCATATCCAAAGCGGTCCATAACACACAATGAAGTGTCTTGATGGGTGCTATCAGTTGTCAAGAAAGGATGGCTAAAATGAAGGAACCAAACTCTATCCACTTGATTTAGATTTTGGTTCTAAATCATTGTATTTTATTAATAGATCATGTACAGCAAGATACATGTAAATATATATATATATATATATATATATATATATATATATATATATATATATAATACATTAAAAATTACTAAAAATGTAATCTTTTGATTTTCTTTTAACTAGCGTTTGTAACTTCATGTTAGAAGACACCTCATTTTTAAAGAGTCAAATTAGTTCGTTGAGATATTTATTGTTTGAGGCCCTCCCCTTCAACTCTTATTTAAAGAAAATAAATGTTGTGATTAAATAAATGGTTGTGCGTGGTAGACCTGACCTATTGATTAAGGTTAAATTGATTCCAAAAATAAAACCCAGTTGTAAAATTTATCAAAGATTTATATACATTGATAATGTTCTAAAAAAGTTGAAGTTTGGAAGAAGATAAGGGGACAACGAGAGAAGAATGAAACAAGAAGGAGACAAGGAAAGGCCTTGGCGAGTAATTATGCGTGGATTGAGGAGTTGGTAGGACACGAAAATAATAGCATTTGGTGCTCACTGCATGTGCCTTCCATGCTTTGTCTATGTTGAGAGCGATGGTCCTAAAGTAAGGCTTGTTCAATCTTTCTTTGTGAATGTGCATACATACTCTCTAAGTCAGTGCAGGGTAACTGAATTAGCCTTTTATTTCTTTTGGTTTTGGCCATTTAAAAGTATAACTCTATTTGACTTATACTTCCAAATTTTTTATTTTCTTAGCGTTTTTGAAGAAGGCTATTGGCAAGTAACTTCAAATTTTCTCACTACGTGCTGAATCAAACTTTACCAATGTTTCAGACCACTTCATTTTACAAATCGACACGCTAATAGTTAGGGAATTAGAAGTAAATAGTTCTTATTAGAAAAATAAGATTAATACATCATATTGTAACTACTGATCCGCGTGCTAATAAGTAAAACCCTTAAACTTACCGATTTGCGTAATATCAAGACGAAGACTCTTTTGATAAATGAAATAAACGTGAATTAATTTTCAAGGACGGTTGTGTTATTACTCCAAACTGTGGCAAAACAAAATCGGTTCCTTAGCCTAAATACGCTTACTTTGCATATTACTCTTATCATTGTTCAAATCCAAGTGCATGGAGTTGATAAGATACAGAACACTTTGTGATTGTGTCAGGTATAAGATGTGGTGAAGTAGAATTTAGCCTTTTTCTTTTGTTAGGTTTGTTGATTTATACTAACATGCTCTTATACACTTTTAAGGTCCAATTGTGTGTCATGCATGCCAACTACTACTTTGGGGCCACCCATATGAAATAATTAGGGAGGGTGATGTTATTAAATTTTCTTCATGCAGTGGTTGCATTTACCTGAAACAACAAGGAATAGGTTGCCAAGATATTGCAAATAATATGTGGAAGTCTCAACATAATAGAATAGATTTCATGAGAGATTTTCATTTTATTTGATGGGTGAAAGCATGGCTTTTTGTGAGAGCCATCATAAGCCAGACCCTCAAAGAAAAGTTGGAATGTTGGCGTATGTGAGAGTGAGAAATTGATGGCACAGAGGTTTGCGTGTAGATTTAAAATCTGTGCTCTCCTCTACATAAGATTTATTTTTCATTTGGTTATTTGATACCCTCAATGGTGGAAGAAGAAGGTGCACCTACAATCATTCATGGATTTTAATTTCATAGGGGTCAAATTGATAATGACCAATGAATATATTATTAAAACATAGAAGAGTGTAAAAATTAATAAATGAGTTTTGTTACGGTCAAGAAATAAAAGAGCTGTCAAAGTGAAAAAATAAATAATAACTATATAAGCAAGTTCTGAGACTGCTTTAACGTAATCCGACTTTATTGATTAACTTGTGTTTTCTTTCTTGAATTTTTTTCTTTTCTTCTTATGAAATGGTCCCCTGAAATTGATTGCGTAATTGGGGGAACTATATTTCTTTGTTGCCGAGTTTTTCCAGAAGAAAATGAAAAAAAATTGAAAAAGAGTGAAGAAAAAGACAAAATTGATGAAGGGAAACACGTTCCATGTCCTTTTCAATTAGAGGCGTTAGTCCAAGGGAGGCACGTTCCATTTTCAAAGACTGATTCTTTTCCGCCTTATTCATCCGAGATCGTGAGAAGAGAAATTCCAATCACGAATGTTTTATTTTATTTTTTATTTTTTTATAATATTTATATTGAAAATTATCTCGAATCATCTTTTTATTGTATAGTAATTATATTTTTTTATTTATAAGAAAGATTATTATTATTATTTTCAGATAAATATTATAAATTTTTTTAAGTAAAATTTTATTATTATTATTTTTATTTTAATTGTCGGTTTTTATGTTATTATTTTGATTTTTAATAATGGTATCAAAGTCACTTAATTATTCAGTTGTATTATTGTTCCTTATTATAATTATTGAAATAGTATCGTGGGAAAAAATTCAATATATTTTATTGTTATAGATAATCTAATTTTTGACATAAAAAAGAATTATTTAAGTTATAAAATGTAGTAGTATGATAATGTATATTTAGAAAAAGTTCTGTCAATTAAAGATTTAATATTTTTATTTGTGATTTATAACTCTTTTTGGAAACTTATTTATTATATTAGTTATAGTCTAGACTATTGTTTTAATATACAATATTATTTATAATGAAACTACAACAAAAACATCAAATAGTGATCGAATTTTCGATTACTTAAATGACCAAAATCGATTACTTAACTAAAATAGTGACCGAAATAAGTAACCAACCCAAATCGGTCACTATTTTCTTGGTCGCTGATTTCGATGATCGAATCGATGATCGATTCAGTCGATCACTAACAAAAATATTAAAAAATTAAAAATAATTTTTTATAACCCTTTTCTATTTTATCTAATTATAATAGTCACTGACAAAATTCAAACCCGATACCTTAGAATTAGAGACCGATACTCCAACCACTAAACTACTAGGATTTTTTTATAATAGTTTATAAATAAATTATATTTATATACAAATACAAATTTATATCCAGTGTAAATATAAAATATATAAATACAAATATATTTATATATATATATATATATATATATGTTGGATGTGAGGGCAGCTCGAGGTGAAAGTGTGTGTCGAATGGATTTTTAAAATTTGATGTCAAATTTGTGGCGGGTCTCTTCATATGAGTTTATAATTTAATGACACAATATAATCTTTATAATTTATTTATATAATGATATAAAATAATTTTTTTCTTTATTTATTTTTATTTTATTTTAATTTATTCTTCTTATATTTTTTTCTTTTATTATTTAATTAAAATTTTTATATTAAAATAATTTTTTCAATATTAAAAATAATTAAATATTTATTTTTAAAATTATTTAATTTAATAAATTATTATAAATTAATCTAATTATGATTATTAATAGAACAATTTTTTCCTAACATATATTATTATAAATTAATCAAAATCATCTTTTAATAATTATTTTTTCCAAACATAGATTAATTCATAATAATTTGTTAAATTAAATAATTTTAAAAAATAATTTTGAAAATAAATATTTAATTATTTTTAATAATGAAAAAATTATTTTAATATAAGAATTTTAATTAAATAATAGAAGAAAAAAATATAAAAAGAATAAATTAAAATAAAATAAAAATAAAAATAAATAAAGAAAACAATTATTTTATATAATTATATAAATAAATTATAAAGATTATATTCTATTATTAAATTACAAATCCATATAAAGAGACTCGCTCACAAATTTGACATCAAATTTTGAAAACTCACTCGACACACACTTTTACCCTCTAGCGTGACCCTCACATCAAACATATAAATATATCAAAATATATAAATATATTTGTATTTATATATTTTATATTTATATATTTACATGAGATATACATTTATTTGTATATAAATATAATTTATTTGTAAATTTTTATTAAAAAATTCTAACAGTTTAATGGTTGGAGTATTAATATCTAATTCTAAGGTACTAGTTTGAATCTTATTAGTAATAATTTTCTTAATCTGATAAACAATTTTTGTTAATTAGAGAAATTATATATTTTTGTGGTAAGACGATGAGATTTTTAGGTTAAACTAAAATTAGGGCAACTAAATTGTTGTAATGGACTAAAACCCAAAAAGTAAAAAATAAAAAATATAATTAAATAAAAGAAAAAATATATAATTTTGCATTTTTATTTTCAAATATTAGTTTTTTTATGAAATTATTTTTAATTAAAATAATAAAAGTGATATATATATATATATATATTTATTTATTTATTTTAATTTATTAATATTATCAAATTTTAGCTTCATGATTAA